AAGTATCAATTCAAATATTTTGATCCATACTAACTTAAATCAATGGAAAAACACGAACTCTGTTATTTCATGGTTTAAGAATTTACCTAACAAGTCATATCGTAGATTTTTAGCCCATCCATTACCGAAGAGCTGCTTCTTAATGCCTTAACCTTTGCTTCCCAGTTCAACACCATCACGGATGAGGAGAAGCACATAATAATGCAGGCGAAGAAATCAGTTCTCTTCAGCAGAAATCAAACTTGGCGCAAGAAAGAGTCAAATAACCTCTTTGATGTAACGATGGGCAGTTTTGATGGTGCGGAAACATGCGAGCTAGCTAGTTGGTTTATTCTTACTATCCAAACTTCCTCCAGAATATCGAAATGATATTGGTCTCTACAGAGATGATCGATGGCCTTGCAGCGTTTGACAAACAACCGAGAGCAATAGAAAATATCAAGAAGCAATTTTGCAGAACTTTTAATGAATATAATTTAAAGATTACAATCGAAGCTAACAAAAAATGTGTCAATTACCTAGATGTCACATTTGACCTAAGAAATTCCTCGTTTAAACCGTACATGAAACCGGGAAATACGCTTCAATATGTCCATCGTCAGAGTAATCACCCACCCGCGGTTTTAAAGGCAATTCCTGATGCAATTAACAATCGATTGTCCAACATCTCGTCTGACGAACAAGCATTTAATTCAGCTTTTCCTCCATACCAAGATGCTTTACATAAGAGTGGTTACTAGAAAATACATGCATGCAGAAACCCTCGCCTTGCTGATTTCGAGAAAAAAAAAACAAAAACAAAAACAAACAAACATTACTTATATAATCTGTATATATATGTAATCTCTTCGTAATTTAATACTTGAACATTCCGTTTACGTCAAACATGTATATAGTATATATAACCTTGGCAACAACATAGCGCGACATTTAAATTCACCTGATGAGTGTGGCAAGCATTGCTTGTCATACGAAACAAGGAGTGTAGTGAATAAATCTTATGAAGTAAACCAGGTTTATTATATATATATATATATATTTTATATATATATATATATATATATATATATATATATATATATATATATATATATATATATATATATATATATATACACACATATATATATATATATATATATATATATATATATATATATATATATATATATATATATATATATATATATATATATGCAGATTGTACTATTACGCTCCTTCACTTCGGTGTTGTAGAGCATTCTGTGGAGTTAATTGGGTGTCCATTAGCAATAATGCAAAGCTCACTTCCTTCGTGGTTGTTTGAGCACTCTGGCCCCATGTCACTCTGCGCATGTCTGGATGCGTCATATATGTTTCATTTATATTTACTTTTTCTTTAGGACAATGTGTGAAATATGTGGTGGGTAAGTTGTTATAAATAGCTCCTGAAATTTTCACTGCACACAGATTAACCATTTCCCAAAATCCAATTAATCTATTTTTGATTAAAAGCATGCTGTCCTTGCTTGGAACTCTGGATAACGATTTCTCAATCAGATTTCCTCTAATATTTTTGTTTTGAAACGACTCCATTGCTCGACTCATTTATAGTTTCTCTTTGTTTCAGTTGGTTTAAAGGACCAGGTGGCGTGGCCACCCACAAACGTAAAAATGACGTTTGTAAGGTAGGTACTTGTATTCCTGATTAATGTTAACATTCAGTGTTTAATATACTATAGATAGTTTCTTTATACATGAAATTTAAAACATGCAAGAGTAATTTTTGGGGCAACCTATATGACAGTTGATTTGCTGATCTGCTCGAAAACTTTTACACGAAACACCTAGGAAGTATAAAGCTACGTTTACATGTTTAAACGTAAAGGTACGCGATTTGTTATGTATCATTCGTATTGTAGCGTATGTAATCGAATAAACACGCGTAAAGTGGTTGCATTTCAAATTTCGCCATAATCTGAATGCCGGAGAAATTGTGACGTCAGCAGTAAATTTCATACGCCAAAATACCTGAGTACACAAACAGGTGGGAAATTTGTCTGAGCGTGCGTGAGCAAAATGAGCCACACAATTGCGTGGAATACACGCAACGCGTGTTTACAAAAAGGCACAATCGTGTAAATATTGCCAAATGTTTGTACAAAATAAATGACTGTTTTATGTTGAAAATGGACATGATCTAAATTAATCATGCAGAATTTTTTAGTGACGTTCTATTTCAGTACCCTGCCATTGTCTCTCGTGGGCTGTCCGTGTGCATTCGATCTGAAACAGTTGCTACTTTGCTGTCAAAAAATTACGAATGTTTACATGAAAATAGAGGCAAGTCATGCATTTTACAACCTCATAAACTGTATGAGCTCCAATTTTTACGCTTATACCTAAGATATCAAATAAAAATACATGAAACAGAGAACATTTTTAGAATGTTTTATCGTGAGGCCACGGCCAGTTTTTAAAATATCTTTATTTCTGTTCCGGTCATCACCAAAATTACACTAAAGCCGGGCTTGAATATACAACAAATTTTGAATCTCATCAAGTACAAAAATATTTAACGTGTAATCAAGATATGCTCGTGAAATCGAAATTAATAGCTAAATTTTCAAACTAGACCCTTCTCGAAGCGGTTTTCATGAAAGAAGTTCACATTTTGGCCTTTGATTCTTGGCAAAAATTTGACAACAACACGTGCGAAGCAACTGGGTCTCAAAGACTCAGTTAAAACATTGTGAGCCCCTGTTTTCCTGACGATATGTTTGATACCTACAAACACCTAAAAGTTTTTTCTTTTCATTTACCCATATTTGAAATTGAGGCCACGGGCTATTTTTGAGAAAATACAGTTCAAAGTCAAGCTATTTTTACATATTTTCAAAATTTGTCAAATTTCGCGAGCTTGTATTTTGAACTTAGACAGCTGAAGTTACATTAAGAAACATAGGATGGAAAATTTGAGGCATATAAAGTTAATTTCAACTTACATTTCATTCTCATATCAGGTCTTTCTTTGTTTATTACGGTTTTAAACAAGCCACAGAACGACGTATACGGTATTTAGGGGCCGTCGACAAATAGATTTCGTCCCGCATCGCGGACTTGGGCCGCGATTGTTTGAACCCCCTCCCCCCCCCCTACCTCATCGCGGACAAGTAAAAAATCCAAAGAGAATCGAAATTATGGTCCAAAATATTATCCGAAATATGACTGTGAGCGGTCTACTATAGGCAAGAATACAGTATGTAATGCTGACTTTTAACATTACAATCAGCTAATGCTTGTAATAAATAAAAACTAGTTTCCGTATTGTTTAGCAGTTGTAAGTTATAAATACCCGATTTGTTGTCCACAAATGCAATATTTATATCCCCGATTGAACGAAACTAGAAAGGTTGTGTCGAACTGCGAACTTAATCGGAAAAGTCAACACAAAATATTCGGCGCGATCAGTTATTCCAGCGGCAACACATATCAAATCGGAATTAACCGTAATGGGTTCGGGCATAGGTTATGTACTTCGAAATGTAAATATCAAACGAAGTATTGTTGTTGAGCTTTGTCCGCTTTTTGCCTCCGAACATTTTGTGAGTATATTATTTAAAATGTACTACATTTTCTTCTGATCTTCGTATTATATTTCTAAAGTCAGTTTTCGTCCCAAATATTTTGTAATCGCGGATTCTAATCTACCCCCTCCCCCCCATCGCGGCCCAAGTCCGCGATGCGGGACGAAATCTATTTGTCGACGGTCCCTTACTCCCATGTTCACGTCGCCATATTAACTTCTTCCAGTCACTCGATTACAAAACAAATCATCCCAAACCAAAGAATTCATAGTCGACTTTTAAAAGAATAACCGTTAATTTGTAAATCGTTGAATGGAAAGCAAAAAATCGTCAGCTAAAACAGCTTCTTGCTAACTTTCTGCTTTGTTTTGAATGTAATTATGTAAATGCAATGAGCTTTGTTTCTGCCCGCGATTTTTTGGTCAGCGACGACAAATTTCCTACCTGTTGAGTACACAACAAATCGTAGCGTGTAAACACAGAGAAGAAATATACAGAGAGGAAACTCGCGGCAAATTACGTCACGCACTTTTTGCCGATATATTAACTATTTAAAATTATTATATTAATTCACCATTTTATTAAATTTTGATAATGCAGAGGAATAAAACTATACATATTATAGAAGTATTCATGTTTTTTTATGCGAGAGTTATATGTTGGGAATTTATATCATTCGTAGCCTGAAAACAAGGCGAAGAAAGATTTCGGCAAAAAGTGCTTTAACTAAAATGGTGCTGCTCTTTGAAATAACGTTATACTTACGAGGCGAGAATTATGGCAACTTTATAGTGCCTTCAAATGATCATGAAACAAAGAATGCATTAAAACTGGCTCATCAATTTTCAACTTTGAATCTGTACCTATTTGTCATTTTAATTATCTTCTTGTTGCGTGGAGTACTACGTGCATGTATATAGTGTGTATATTGTTCATGTATATATTGTCTGATCATGCGCCTGGTTTTGTCAGCCATGCAACATCAGATTTTCACCTCTTGGTTCCGTATTTACCGCTGACAAACCGTGATTCTAAGCTTCCGACGACATCTTTTTATGCTTTTACCCCTGTGACGAACTTATTATATCTTATTATATCATTATTATATTATTATATCTTATATCATTATTCTAGAGTATAGCCGCTGCTAAGATGGGGAAATAAAAGGTACGTTAACGATCTTGCATTAAAATGGGCAAAAAACGGGTAACGAACGGATAACAAACGTTTTGTGAAATCGTTTTAAACTGATCGTGAGTAAACGATGAAGACAAAAAATAACGCTTTTCGAGCGGCTTTAACAAACCGTTCGAATGAAATTAATAAACCGTTTAAACGATATTCGCCAAAACTTTCAACGCACCTGACTAACAGGATGGTGTAAAGCCGCCGCAAACAATATACAAAAACTTCAGTACAACCAGAATTAACAGCCACGCATTTATCCAGATTACACTACAAAACACATGAAATCCTTTACTATAGAATTGCTCGATCTTTTAGTAAAATTAAAGCCAAGAATATTCTAGCGGTTACCCCCATTTGAATAGATGGCGGTCATGTTGGAGTTTCCCACTCGCTAATAAACGCTCAAAAACAAAAATAACTTTCATCATTTGAATAGTTTAAAAATGTATTTGGAGTTAAGGTAATTCCGCAGTAATTGTTCCCGAAATGAGAATGTGCTGAAACTTCCCAGGCATGGAGTTCATGATATACTTAAAGTAAAATCACACAAAAAAGTCGGGGTCACCGAACTCGTTAAGAAGATATGACAATCACAATATACCACCTTTACCCCAATATGGCGCCATCTTGACGCTCATTACGAGTAACAGCAAACTCACAACAGCCCGATATTTATTGACGTTTTTAGCGCGGATTTTGCTTTAGTAAACCTATATTGTAATTATTTTTGAAAAAGTATTGTGTTTTGAGCAAAATGAAACTACTAACGTGTACAATTCTGATCCACAAATGTCTTTTGCATATTTCTTTACATATCTTTCTTTAAGAACATGCATTGATAAAGCATTTTTTTTCAAGATCCAGAAATGATTTTTCTTTTTATTTCGGATATGAAATGTAAAATGCATTAAAGAAATAAATTATCAGTTAAAAAACGGGGGTCACCGATCTTTTTAGGGAATTGTGGGATTAAAACGTGAAATACAAGTAAACAAATATACTACAGACACAGGAACCCTATATAGCTACACTTTTGTATGCCTTTTTTGAAAACATTGATTTTAACTATACTACCTACTGTACACCGGACCTCATGTTACTTTGATATATCTTATTCAAGTTGTTTTGATACAAAACCAGTCTGCAGTAGTTCTAATGTCATGTCAAGGTGGGAACAGCACTGCCATTCAATGGGTTAATGACAACAACATGCACCTAACAGGTTATAGCAGAGTACTAAAATGCAATTATTCATTTTTTAATTAACAACAGGTGATATTGACGAGTCGCATTTAACCAATATTACGCTGCCGGTTATCATTTATTTTATTATTATAGTGTCGTATAGTTTTGTATATATAGTGTTGTATAGTTTTCTATACTATAGATGTAGTATAGTGCATGTCGTGTAGTGTTGTATAGTGTCGTATAGCCTTACATAGTGTTTTATATATAGTCTTGCATAACGTTGTATAATGTTGTATAATGTTGTATAATGTTGTATAATGTTGTATACTGTCGTATAGCCTTTATATAGTGTTGTATAGTCTTGTATACCCTTGTATAATAGTGTTGTATGCTCTTCTGTAGTGTTATATAACGTTGTATATTGTTGTATAGTGTTGTATAGTGATGTATACTGTCGTATAGCCTTACATAGTGTTGTATAGTGTTGTATAGCCTTGTATAATGTTTAATTTCAAAATCTACTTTTGGATTTAGCGTTCAATATAAAAAATGCCGTCACACAAATCTTTCCATATCAAAAGAAAACTGACCAAAAAGATGAAGCAAAACCGGCCGATACCACAATGGGTGCGAATAACGACAGGAAACACTATAAGATACAACGCCAAAAGACGTCATTGGAGAAGAACCAAATTGGGTCTCTAAACCATTCTGAAACTGACCAAAATAATAGTGTTTCGGTATGGCCTTTTATAGTGTAGTTTAATGTTGTATATTAATTCCAAGCGGGCAAAACGACGTTTATTCAACGTTGAATCAACGTTGGAAATGATCACCCAGACGTTGGATAGACGTTGAAAAAGGATTGAAAATGCAAATTGGATTGACGTTACTCTTTTGACGTTGAAATAACGTTGAGATTAGGTTGCCAATCTCGTCAACCATAATTCAACATTGAATCCACGTTGAAACAACGTTGAGAATACTTCAGAAGTTGACGTCGTATAACCAACCATAAACGAACGTTGATTCGACGTCTGTTTGCTGCTGCTGACCAACGTTCGTAAAACAACGTCAAAGCAACCTTGATATATTAGGTTGTCGACGTCGCGACCTTTTTTCGATCAAATTTCAACGTTGAAGCAACGTTGTGTGCCCGGTGGAATTGTCTTGTATAGCGTCATATATAGTCTTAGCTTGTATAATGTTGTATAATGTTGTATAATGTCGTATAGCCTTAAATAGTGTTGTATAGTCTTGTATATTGTTGTATAGTGTCGTATAGTTTTATATAGTTTTTTATATAGTCTTGTATAACGTTGTATGGTGTTATATAGTGTTGTATACTGTCGTATAGCCTTATATACAGGAGGCCCAGGCTCTATTTGCCCGCGCCCGTCTGTGCCTTCCTTATAACGAGGGAAGGAAGGAAACATTCGGCCCTAATAGCCCAGACTTGGCATATGTCACACAAAACTATATCCTCGATTTTTCGCCTTTAGGGACCGGTCATAAAGTAATTACTAGAGGGGAGTGGAGGATAAATGAAATTTCAAGTACATATTTCCATACCCTCCCAAAAACCTAGGGAAAATTTTCGTAACCCCCTTCAATGTAAGTGAAAATTTCATACCTGCCCCCTCTATCAATAATTCTGTTTTAACATTTGTCTTGCGTTTATCTATATTTCGAGCTTGCTAGCATTGACAATTCAGATGTATCAGATTTGTACTCCAAACATTCCACGGATACTGAATCCTACTTATCATCTGACATTAGTAAAACAATTTTTTCCAAACTGCTTAAATTTGGGCACATATACATTCAATATTCAACAGTAATTATAAAATTTAATTTTTTTCCGTACCTATAGTACTAAGATTTTGGTACCCCCCAGAGGTTCTGGGTTTTTTTTTGTACCCCCAAAAATATCCCCCACACCCCCTAGTAAATACTTTATGACCGGTCCCTTAATGCATTTCTTTCAAGATTAATCGATATCCCCTGCGAAAATGATGCAGTATAACTCTCAAAACAACGATACTTTAATCGAAGAGCTTAAATTCGCTCTAAAATCCGTGAGGGAATGAGAAAATTCGGCCAAAATATACCGTATCCACGTGCCAGTCATATGGTGCCAGTCATTCCCTCACGGATTTTAGAGCGAATTTAAGCTCTTCGATTAAAGTATCGTTGTTTTGAGAGTTATACTGCATCATTTTCACAGGGGATATCGATTAATCTTGAAAGAAATGCATTAAAGGCGAAAAATCGAGGATAGTTTTATGTGAAATATGCCAAGTCTGGGCTATTTTGGTCACAGGCGGCCAAATCTCTGAACGTCCTATATATTTTGAAAATTTAACCGTTATAATATTTTGAAATGACAAAATAATTAAAAAATATTAACAATATATGTAAAAAAATATATCTCACTTGTTAATAGAATCCATTTGTTGTGTTTCTGAGTCTAGTTGACGCGATTGCTTTACGTTTTCGTCGTACTTGAACGGTCGTCACTACTGGCACGTACTGGACGACATGGCCGTATAGGACATAATTTATGTCTATGGCCATGTCGTCCAGTGCCAGTAGTGACGACCGTTCAAGTACGACGAAAACGTAAAGCAATCACATCAACTAGACCCAGAAACACAACAAATGCATTCTATTAACAAGTGAGATATATTTTTTACATATATTGTTAATATTTTTGAATTATTTTGTTATTTTAAAATATTATATTAAACGGTTAAATACTCAAAATATATAGGACGTTCAGAGATTGGGCCGCCTGTGTTTTGGTCTTAATGTTTCCTTCCATCGGCCTCGTTATAAGGAAGGCACAGGCGGGCGGGCGCGGGCAAATAGAGCCTGGGCCTCCGCAGATTTCGTGCTCGACCAACAGCGCATTTGTTTGCATTTTCGCTCTCAGCTAATCATAATGCAGGAAACGAGAAATTCACACCAAGCGAGTGTGTGTTTTAAATTTATAACCAAAAGCTCTTGATACAGCTCATTAAAATCTAAAACTTTGCCGTTGGCAGTTTTAAATTTCGACCTAGAACGGAAAATATCCGTGTTTGAGATTTTTCCCTATGTCGCGTATACAAATTTGAGTAATCTAATTTGACTGCAGTAAAACTAAAAATTGCTATATTTTCTCTGCTTTACGTTTGTTGGAAAACTCTTTTTCGCCCTTGTTGAGAATCATTTTGGTCAATGTATTATTTTATAACGCTATAAACGCGTTATCGTCTGGGTTTTTCATACAAAACATTGACCAAAACAATTTGCAACAAAAGCGAAAAAGAGTTTTCCAACAAAATCTTAAAAGCAGAGAAAATATAGCAATTTTTAGCTATTACTCAAATTTGTATACGCGACATATAGGGAAACATTTCAAACACGGATATTTTCAGTTCTAGGTCGAAATTTAAAAATGTCCACGGCAAAGTTTTAGATTTTAATGTGCTGCATCATATTATAATCTTTTGGTTCAGTAAAATTGAATCTCACGGAAGCCCGAAAAGACGGCAGTACTTTCTAGCTCGCGGCAAGCCTTGGTGTAAATTTCTCGTTTCCTGCATTATGATTAGCTGCATGAGAGCGAAAATGTAAACAAATGTTGTATATATATATATTGGTTTAGCCTTATATACGCCTATATTATATTGTAAAAGCTCACTCACACTCAATGAGTGGAGGTTCAATCTGAGCTTCTCTTCCCGTCTATGCTATTTCTGAATAGCTGGAGGGTGAGTAACCACATAGTAAGGTACGACAACAGCCCTCCAGCTATTCAAAAACAGCAATGACACTCGAGACGGAAGCTCAGATTGAACTTCCACTCATTGAGTGCGAGTGTGAGTGAGCTTTTAGGGACCGGTCATTATTTATGGAAGGGGGGGGAGGGGAATTTTTTCTTTTCTAAATTTTTAAAATTGAAAGCCCCCCCCTAAAAGAGCAGAAATTTAATGATGACCCCCCCTGCATATTTGAATATTTTTCTTTGACCCCCCCCATTTCTCTTTTACTCGTCAAATGGGGATACCCAGGCGTTATAGTGTTAATTATTAAATAAGAATATGGAACTGGCAAGATATTAATGTCGACCAAAAATATATATTATAATATTAGCAGAAAATGATAATTAAAAGAGGAGTATTTTTATATAGAACACTGAAATCAGGTTTCCATTTGGTCTGGGCGATTGTAACCATGTTTAAGGCTGCAACTAGACTTGATGGTACGAAGTATTGCCATAGCAGCTGCGCAGCAACAATGAGAGTAACAATCAGTAATATTAGCAGCAAAAGGAGATAGCAATGACAATTCTGCCAAGGCATACCTACGAAATACAATGTATAGTGGTCTATACATCCTATTTTATGTGAGATTAAAAATTATATAAAATAAAATGACATATACTACCAGATAAAATCCTTTAGAATGAACATGGGTGGGTGCGTGGGGAAAAGGTATCGAAGCGCTAAACTTGCTGCAGCTAGGCAAAGCATACAATGGCAGAATGATTGAATGAATACCCAGACCGAAGCACTGATCACAAGGCATGAAACAACCCCCTTTGATCGATATGACGTCACAGACTTCCCTCAGCGGAAGTGGCCCGCATAATACATCCGCCGTTAACCTAGAAAACCTCGGACCCACGAACAGGCTACGTATAGGAGACTACCGTTAAACTTGCTTAATTTAAATGTATTTAACCACATGAAGAGCTGATGTAATAATACATTGTCAATTTAACTAGTCTGCAATCCGTAAAGACTGATTTGCATACAGCACACAAGACAAGATAAATCCAGACTATTTCACATCAGTGACCATGATTTAGTTGCAACATTTACAACCAAATGGATACCAGGTTATTAAGCAAATTCCTTCAAATTTAACTTCCACACCCCCCCCCTCCGTCATTTTCTTGAAAAAAATTAATAGCCCCCCCCCCTTCTAGTCATTTATTTCTACATATGACCCCCCTTATTTTTTCCCTCCCCCTTCCATAAATAATGACCGGTCC